TTCTCTCTCTGCAAATCTGCAAATCTATGCTATGTAAATAGAGGAGAGTTACCAAAATTGGAAGATAGCCATAACTGAAACACTTGCATTTATCTTGGAAATAAAATTTCTCATAGCTTAATTTTGCATTTTTTTAGTAAAATCTTTTTTTTTTTATATGCATAATTAATATAACACTTTCTTTTGTCATTTTTAGATAATCTAATATATATATATATATATATATATATATATATATATATATATATATATATATATATATATATATATATATATATATATATATATATATACATATATATATATATATATACTCTTGCATGGCCGTCTTTAAGTTTTTATTATAAAATGTCAGCTTTAAGTTATTTTTTTACTTCAAAAACTGAAAAAATATATATATATATATTTTAACTATTCGATAAACTGCCAGCTGAAACCAAACCCTCAGTCAATGTAGCAGCACTCCGTTGAGAGTCAGGCTATTTGTCAGTCGATGTAGCAGCACTCTGTTACAAGTCAGGCTATAAGATAGTCAATTTAGCAATACTCCGCACATGGATTACAGTTAAAAAATAAAAAAAACATTTAGAATGTTTTAAAAATATTCAAGCCTTTTATTTTATGGTTTTGTAATTTAATTACATCCTGCAATTAAATTAATGCATTTTGACATACTTTAACCTTAATTTTGTTAGGTTTAATACCACAAACAAGCGAAGAGCCATTTTTGTATATATATAAATAAATGTTCACACTAAATTAGTTGCATCGGGTATACAATATGGAAGGAGACAATTTAGGACAGGACAAAAAGTTTTAAAAATACAAACTTATCAACCAAGTTAAATATATTAGTTAATTGGAAATAGTTTCACACATCATCGTAATAGGATTTTTTTTAACCGAGGCATTAAGATTTTTACAAACATTTTTACTAACACTTTTTTATTTTATGACTTTATACGTAAGAATTTACAGGGGAACTTACTTCTTCAAGGAATATATTTTTTACTTATTTAGTGAAAGGGATATATAGGGACATAAATTTATCATAAAAATTTTGTGGAATATATTCTGAAATCAGGGTTAAGGCAGCATCGGATAGTGGAGGCACATTGATTGGCAACTTAAATTATAAATAATTAAAAAACTAAAAGTTTAGAAATTGCAGTAAAACATGTTTTTAATAAAACAATGAAACTAAGGGAAGCTGCAGAGTAGTCTGTTAAATGATGTTACTATTTTAATAGTAATCTGTTAAACGATTTCAGTGCGATTTAAGATAACAAAAGATCAAGTTAACCACTTACCAAAAATTAATTGTAATACTTTTTTTTAACTAGAGGCTCTTTTACACTCAATAAAATTTAACACAATAATGTTTTTTCTTGTTTGAGTATTTTTTTTCAGTTTAAATTAGTGAAGTTTGTTAGACATGTAAGAAAATTTAAATGACACTTTTTGCAAAATTTTTGTTAAATTTTTAAGTAAACAAAGTAAAATATATCTAGAGGTTTTTATATTAATGTGTAGATTTAAAGTAGACAAGATAGTTTTCTTAAAATTGGTGCTGTTTTTTTATTTTATTTCTCAAAACTTATAATTGAAAAAAAATTATACATCATTACATGCAAGTATGTTGCAATACATATTAAGTAATTATCATCATTTTAAATATCTTAATAATATCCTTCAAAATGACATGCTGACAATAGAATTGATTTATTCTTTTAATGAAGTTTGTTAAATGAGTTCATTGTATTACTCTAGTGGTAAAAAAAGAAATTAACAATTTAAAAACAGAAATGTGCAACTGTACTTACAACTCTTTTATTTCTTGGCGTTTTTTTTATAAGAAAGTATAATTGAAAGTGAATGCAAGTATCTAATTCATGAAAACTTCAAATGGTAAATTTTAATTTAGGTTTTTAGTTTTCACTTTAGGTTTTTTACAACTAAGTTGAGTTTGTGCAAGGAAATGGGGTATGTAACATGTATATATTGAATAAAAACTCTACAGATCTATAAAACTGATTTGTTTTGCATTTTAAATGACAAACATTTTTAAAAAAAGCTGATGATTTGAACTTGCCACAGGCCCACCTTAACTAATTTAAAAACAGTAAGGGGGTCATTAAAAGTAAAAACTTTAATAAGATCATAATTAAAAATTCTTATTTTTTATTTAAAATAAAGCATTTTATGAAAGGTTAATTAAAAATAATAACAAGTTAAAAACCTATAACTATCAAGATAATTTCCTATCAAGGTAAAACCTATAACTATTAGGGAAATTTGGAAGCTTACATCTATTTTACCACGTCCCTGTTACACATTCTAAACCAAATGTACAACAATGACAGAATTAAAAAAACATCAAAAAAGATGCATCATACTATGCATAACATTTTTAGAGTCAACTGGGACACTAATACCTGATGCTCAAGGCATTTAAGATGGCACGCAGTATTATCTTCACACAGCGAAGATGGCACGCAATGGCATGCCATTTACTGTATTTCATATTTAATTTATAATTACATAATTTATTTATCCCTTATAAATTTCTAGACTATTGTTGAATCTCTATATTATCATAATCATAATTAATATAACTATTGAACTTTTAATTATATATTTTTTTAACTATGTATTTTTTTTTTGTAAAATTTTTAATATGTTTTTAAAATTACTAAAGTTTAATTTATGAAGGTGTTAGGTAATGTTTTGTAGGTGATGAAATATATTTTGAAGGTGATGTATTAAAAGGTGTACCTATAATAAGAAGGTGATGTTAGGTAATGAAATATGTTTTAAAGGTGATGTATTAAAATCTTTATAGGTTGTTTAAATTTATAGAAGCAGACGATGTTTAAATTTATAGAAGCTAACGATGTTTAAATTTATAGAAGCTGACGATGTTTAAATTTATAGCAGACGATATTTAAATTTATAGAAGCAGACCATGTTTAAATTTTTAGAAGCAGACAATGTTTAAATTTATAGAGGCAGACAATATTTAAATTTATAGAAGCAGACGATGTTTAAATTTATAGAAGCTGACGATGTTTAAATTTTTAGAAGCAGACGATGTTTAAATTTATAGAAGCTGACGATGTTTAAATTTATAGCAAACGATATTTAAATTTATAGCAGACGATGTTTAAATTTTTAGAAGCAGACAATGTTTAAATTTATAGAAGCAGACAATATTTAAATTTATAGAAGCAGACGATGTTTAAATTTATAGAAGTTGACGATGTTTATATTTATAGAAGTTGACGATGTTTAAATTTATAGAAGCTGACGATGACTTTGTATTAAATATAAGTATTATTGGGTTTTTTTTTTTTCGGTTTTATATAATTTTATGTTAGTTATTCAATTAGATATGTATCTAATTATTTAGTACAGTGTTATTATCTGGTGGTGATAATCAAAGGAATACAAATGGAATACTAATAATGGTGATAATCAAAGGAATAGATTTTATAAAGTTGAACTTTAACAACTTTTTAAAAATTTACAAACACTTCTTTTTGACTAATCAGTCAAAAAGAAGTATTTGTAAAAGGGTTAGAGAAGTGTATTAATTGAAACCAGAACTTATTCCTTTGTTGTTTTTTTAATAGTTTTTAATTGTATTTTTAAACGGTTTTTATACTTTTTGATTTAAAAACCTGGCTGATAAGTGCTGAAAATCTGGCTGATGATGCTGATGAGTGCTAAAAATGACATTAATTATAAAGTACCATTAAAAAGTTATTTTCTTTTATTTAAATTTGTATTTTTTCGCTTACTTTTTATTGATCTATTTTTTGATTATTATGTCACACTGAATTCTTATAAATATCTTTACAAGCATGAAACACACAGTTTTTTAAACCTAACATTTTGATCTTTTATTACTAAGTTAATTTAATTTAATTAATTTAATTAATTTAACAAGAACAATTGCTTCATAAGATAAAGGTAGAGTAAAAATTATGTAAAAGCATGTAGGTAGTAAAAATTGTAGAGTAGATTAAGGTATTATTAGCATCTAAAGCAAAAATTGGAATATTTTCTAAAATAGCTATGCTGGACCCAAAATTTTTTCAAATAAACAATATTTAGGGACTCATGGTTCACTTTGATATTTGAGTATCAAAAATACTTTCTTAAAAAATATAGAGGTTTTAAAAAAGTAGTAAAAAAATTATAATACCCAGACCACTTGGTAATATGAGTACTTTAAATTAGCTCAAAAAAATAACATTTTTTAAGTAAAAAAATACCAACCTTACAATTAGAACTAAATTAAGGACTATAATGATTTGTTATTAAAAAAATCTTATTGTTAACAAGTCAAATTTTAAGCCACTTTTTATTGAAACAATACTTTGTTTTAGTTATTTCAATTTTATTAACTCAAACCTTTAAACAATATTATTTGGAAAAAAATTTAATAGCGTTTTAATTAGATAAGAGCCACTAATTAATGCATATAAATTAACCCTAATTATACTTATTCCTGTTATTGCTACCTAAAGTAGAAATTAAAAATTTAAAGTTTAATGGCATATTAAATATTCAAATGTTTCATATATTATGTTTTTTGCTCAGTTTTTACTCCAATTAATAAACAAAAATAATTAAAGATAAAAAAAATCAAAACAGTGAAGTAAATAAATACAATATAAACAGCATAAACTAGAACATTTTAGTTTTTGAGACTTAAAATTTAGTTTGCAATTTTAAATGTTTTAAATTTATGCAAAATTTGAAATATATGAAATAATGGACAAAACAATGAATTGTATTTAAACGAAAAAATTCAATAACAAATTAAAAAAGTCACAACACAGGAAACCCAATAAATAACTAATTAAAAAACTCACAACACAGGAAATCCAATAAATAACAAACTAAAAAACTCACAACACAGGAAACCCAATAATAAGCAATTTAAAAAACTCACAACACAGGAAACCCAATAAACAACAAATTAAAAAACTCACAACACAGGAAACCCAATAAACGGCAGCAAATATAATAGTCTCTGTAACCATTTTTTTGGAAAGTACCAAAGATAAAATATAACAGCAGCTAATACATATAAAATAACAGAGAAAATGAGAAAGGAAAGAACAATCGATTTTTGAAGATCTCGATTTCTATTTTGATTTTCTTCTAATTTATCAATTTCCTATAAAAAAAAAAAAAGTTAAATTTTCTATTTTCTGTGTTAAATAAAAAGAATGAATAATAAACTAAAAATAAAAGACATACAAAAAGCAGTTCTGAAATAAAATGATTTACTAACTAATTAGGATGAAAACTTTATAAATTCTATTCAAGCATATAGAATAAGCGTGGATGAAGTTTATCTAACAAAATAAACTAGTTTACAAGATAACTTGAGATGGTCGGACATGGGCCACATTGTGTCCGATGTGCGACCCAGTCAAAAAAACTGTACAAGATGATTGATTGGCTTGAATTGAAAAAATTTCATCGGTGTCCGTGATCAAAATGGTCGGCTCTGATTGAAGAATGTTTTGTCCGATGTCTGCCATTGTCTGACTTTTTTATGGCCGCCATATTCGGCATCAGACCGGGCCGGCATTTCTGGGCCAAATGGAATAAAATTGATTGACTTATCAGAAAGTGTTCGACTGTTTGGTTGAACGACTTGTTCAGCATTATTATCTTTCTTGAATTTATTCCATTTTAATCCAAATTATTCACCACAGCTTTAAATTATTTCAAGACTTTTAAAAGTTTCATTCTCCTTGGACTACAGGATATTGGTGAATAGAAGCATTTAATTTTTTTTAACACTGATGCAGTAGTTTTCATAATTTCAAAGTTTAGTTTTTTGAAATCAGCGTAAAAAACTGCATAAGAAAAACTTATTTTGATTATCAAATTCAAACATGACCAAAAGCAAAGAAGATATGATAAATATCCTATTTGCTTTGGTTGTGAACAAAAAATTAATTTTTTTTAATTTTTTAATTGAATTTTTTCTTTTATAACATATTAATATATATTACAAAAAATTTATATATTTATTGAATTTATTAAAAAACTTTTGTTTTGTAAATATCTACTTTATTTTTTAACTTTGCATGTTGTCAAATTTGATTTAGTTACACATTTTCGAGAACTTATTACACAAAAATACAAACTGGCGCATGTTATAAAAGAGATCTATGAGACTTCAAATGAAGTCATTGAACTTAATGCAATTTTAAATGAACAAATTTCTAGTGGTTCTGTTCTTTTGAAAGCGAAAACTACTGGTGTAGGCAAGTCAAAAGTTTGGATGAATTTTTTTTTGCTCTTCAAATTACATGCCACCAAACCTGTCAAAAATATTGCAGTTTGTAACATTTGTAGAAAAGCTGTTCACCAAAAGCTAAGTAGAACTACAGCCCCAAGTGAACGAATGAATTCCATTGCAAAGCTGACTACTAATGACAGGAGAGCCAATCTTACACCAGAAACAATTGAAGCCTCGATGCTACTTCGAATGGACAAGGAACTGCAAAATTCTCATTTCAATGCCAAGGACAAACACTAAGAAAACTTATTGAAAACTTACTGAACTTTTTTTTTAAATTTACTACCTGTATTATTCAGGCTGTATATACTGCACTTAAATCTGTACTAGAAATTACTACGAACTTCGCTGTAAATATGAAAAATTGTCTGATTCTTGTGTCACTTTTTATTTTTTTGCATGTTTGACGTCCGACTGCGTTTGAGATTTTTAGTTCAATGACTGTTCGGTGATCAATCAGTGTTCAGTTCGACATTAGTTTTTCTGACCCGTGTTTGGGGTGTCCGAGTTGTCCGGGTTGTTTGACAAAATTATTGTTGCTCGTGTTCAACCGGTTCAGTGGTTCAGACCGTACGAACACGGGCGAACAGAAAAACGTCAATCAGTCCGACCATCTCTAAAGATAACAATAGATGCAATACTAAAAAATTATAGAACTTGCTAACTATACTGAGAAAATACATTATGACACCAAACCACCTAATAATATGTCTACTATTTGTAAATGTTATCAAAAAAATATTTATAAAGCAGAATTTTTAACTTTTTACAATTAATGCAGCACAAAACTTATTTGAAGTATTAAACTTGAAAAAAAAGCTTTACTTGAACAAAGTAAACATATTTCATACCAAAATCTAACATCAAACAAACAAAAGAATTAATTTTTAGTTTTATCTTAAAGTCTTATCTAAATGCTTTCAAAAGAGTTAGTTAAACTAAGTTTAGTTCACTTGTGATTGTTGTTCACTTGTTATTGTGTTTGAGGTCTTAATATTGTTCTTATAACGCCAAAAGGAAGTTCATCAAGTAAAGATGCTTTTCTGCAGTAGTCCTGCAATAGTGTAATATCTTAATAATTTCTGCTAGAGTTGCTAATCTGAATTTGGGCCAAATTGTTGAGCAATAAAGAATAACAAAAATAAAGAATAACAAAAATGTTTTTGAAAAAAGTTTAAAAACTGTATTATTACGGTTTTCATTACAAGTAAAAAATTTTAACTTTACAATAGCAAACTTGGCTCAGTTATAAACATAAACATTTTAGACAGATTATTGTTCAAAATTCCTTGACTTTTGCAAAATTTATTAAATTCTCTGAATTTTGCATGATGTTCAGCAATTTGCTTTTCTATAAAGTAATTTATAGAGAACCATTTTTTACAGATTAAAAATTTAAACATATTTCAAGCAAGGTAAAAGTCTTATTTTTCTTTTTTTTTTAAATTACTTAATTTTTTTATAATGGTATAATTAATTTTTATAATTTTTCCAAAACTTTTAAATATGCTGTAACATTTTCTGTTGATTCGTATGATTACTTACAGTTACAATTAGCAATTTTATCACAAAAATTTTTAACCTCCGATGTTATTAAGTTTCAAAAGAATTTCAAAAAAAAAAATTTTTTTAAATTATAAGAATTTTGTTATTTTTATTTTACGAGAGCAATCTAAATTTAAAGTTTGCAGAAAAACTACTTAAAATTTCATGAAAAGAAATGCGAAATTTCATAAAAAGAAATGCAAAATTATTATTCTGATTATATTATTTTAAAAATGAAAAATATGCATCAAAGGACGAGACCGAGCTGTCAAGCTCGGTCTAGTCTTTTGTGAAAAACATGACCATAAGTAAGGTTCAAAAGAAACTGAATGAAAAACATGACATTGCCTGATTAAAAAGTTAAACTAAAAGATAACCTGACACAGACTAAAAACATAACATATTATTAAAAAGCTAAATCTTGATGACTATTTACCTTCAAAGATTTTTATTTATGAAGTAGATTTAATCGTTACTCTTCACCATTAAACTTTCTTAAAGCAGAAGAAACTGTTATATTTTTAGCTTATATTATAAACTTATTACTTGTATTATTATTTGAAATCAGTACCCTTCGTTTAAAATATCCTGGTTAGTTAAACAGGAGATACTGATTATGATGTATATAACCCATTTTATAGTTCTTTTATTGTGTTTGATTACATATTTGATATGCCAAAATTTATGAGAGACTTTTTATTACAGTTTTCAAAAATATAAAAATGTACCTTTTCCATAATCTCTAACGTTTCTTGAGTTGATTTCTTTTTCTAGTAAAATAAATTAAACAGTAAATTGTGTTTATAATTTCTACAAATGGATTTTCTCAATGTTCTTAAAGAGAAGAGTAATAAAAAATTAGTAAAAAACTTTTAATTTTTTTTTCCGACAGGATGTTACTCCTTCTGACTTTATCAAAAAACCTCAATTAAAAGAAAAATATTTTAAAAGTTGCAAATAAAAAGTTGGCAAATGTTATAGCTAATTATTTAACAGAATGTAATTCAAATTTTTTGTGAAATAATTTTGATGAGGCTACTTTTAGGTAGGTGGTGGTGGGAATCAAATTTGGAACTTTTTGCTTATGAGACAAGCGCTCTACACTACACTACTACCGTTATTTTGAAATATGACTTATTGTCCATCATTATCATTTGTTTTTTTTATTTGTTTTTTGTTCACAAAAAAAAAATGAAACTATTACCAATCTTTTATCATGAAATTTAATAAACAAAAAATCTGAATTAATTTTTAAATGCAAACATGAAAACAAAAACTTTTTAGAAAATTATAAAAAGCAAATGACCAAACTAAAACTATCCTAATTCTTAAAAATTCTTTTCACAAATAATTTTTTGAAAATTTAATCTAGCTAATGTAAATCCGTGGCAACAAAATAACTACAGTTAGTCTACAGTCTGTGTAATATTTTTCCTGAAATTTAATATCTTTGATACTTATACACTCTTCCTGATAAACCTATACTATATATACTTTTGCATGTCATCTTATATTTTTACTATAAAATGAAAAATAATAAACTATGTTTTTTTATAACAAATTAATTTAGAAGACCAGAAAAAGTTTTATAGCTTAAAAAAAAAAAAAAAAAAATTTTAAATTTTTATACAAACCAAAACCCTCAGTTAATGTAGCAACACTCCTTGTATGTCTATATATATATATATTTCTCAGTCGATGTATCCACACTTCTTGCATATTCTTACTGTTTGTCAGTTGATCTAGCAACACTCCTCGCATTTTCTACCTATTTGTAAGTTGATGTAGCAACTTATCTGGCATGTTCTACCTATTTTTTAATGAGTGCAATTGTACTTATTGTCAGCTAATTTTTGTAAACAGTAAAAAAATTAAAATTAAATAATTCAGAATGTTTATATTTTTATTGAAAAAATAAAAAACTGATCTATAAAGGTTGCATTTTTGTTGTTTTTCAAAAATTGATAAAATTCAATTAGTTTTCTTAATGAAATCGAATAATTTATAAATAAATTGAACTTGATTTTGTCACTTTCAAAAAAAGAGTCATTAAAAACCGTTTTTTTACCAAAATAAATTAAATTTAGATGTCAAACTATTTGAATATATATATACCAGGTCTTGTTTTAAAGCAAAATGCGTTAAGCTATTTTTGTACACCTTTTACATAGCAATTTTACGTAAGCAATAAGTGATCTCAGCTAAGCAACTTTTTATTATTTTAAACTTTTAAATTATTCAATAACCGGTAAGATAAAAAAATCACATTAGCTTTCATTAAACAAAATATTTTTTACAAAAGTTTAAATGACAATTATGCTTGATATAAGCGCTATTTACATTTAATATTTAAGTTTATTAAAATAAAAATAAATGTTTGGGTTTAACTTAACTATCACATTTATTTTAAAATAGTACTAAATATTATTCAATATTGAAATTTTATTTGTTCTTAAAAAAAAAAATTATGATTTTGGTTTTTCTTCCTAAAGACTTTTTTTTACTGAAAATTAAATTTTAAACGGCTGCATCAAAAACTTGCACAAAAGGTATGTTAAACTTTTTTTTATAATGCAAGTTAAAATGTATTTCTAATAAAATAATAAACTAATAAACTTTTAATAAATAAAGTAAATAAATTAACATAATTTTTTTTATTTGTTAATTGCTAATTTTTTTAAAATAAAAAATCACTTGTAGTTGCAAAGCTGCAATTAGAAATTTAAAGGGATCCCCAAGTGCCGAGGCAAGTTGTGTTCATATTACAGATAAACATTAGAAAATAAGTTAAAAGTTATTTAAACTTTCCAAAACAAATTATTGAATGATATATTAACAACAAACTTTTAAATTTTTTACGCCATTTTGTTTCTGGCGAAGGAAAGTTCTGGCTTTTTGACTATTTTTATTTTTTAAATCAGGTCTGATTAATGCCCTTATATTTGACATCAATACAAAAACTTTCTTTCAAAAAACTTCAAGTTTAAATTGCAGAGGTTTCCCCTTTATTGGTTAAACAAAAATATAAGATTCAAGTTTATCAATTTTTTATATATCCGAAAAATATATATTAGATCATTTTAAAAACGATTTCTTGTATAAGAAATATAAATTATTATAAAAATAAGTTAAAAATATATATAATATCATCTCAAAAAAAAAGATTTTTATATCTTACAAAATTTGTAATGTATATAAAAAAATTGATTACTTATTTTATAAGAAAAATATTCATCTTGCATTTTTTAAAGTTCGCTTCGCTTAAAAAACTACTTTTATTATGCTAGTTAATATAACTGAAACGCAAAAAACAAAAACATACTGAATGATTTTTATAAGAACCGCAGACTAAATATGAAGGGGAAACCCAATCTGATTGTGTAAATCTGAACTAAGTTTAAAAAACTCTGTGGTGCGCAAAAAAATTTACTATTGAAACCAGATATTTTTTTAACTGAAAAAACTATGCAGATTTGAGAGCCTAAAATGAGGCTCAAAATTGGAAGTATAATGGAAAAACAACAAATGCTTTTATTAACATCTCATTCAATAATTTGTTTTGGAAAGTTTAATTAATTTTCAACTTTTTTTCTAATGTTCATCTATGATATAAACACAACTTGTCATTCTGAAAATTTAAAAATTCAACATATTTTAATTCATTTATGCAAATGTCGAGAAAAATAAAGAAATTTGTTAATATCAAACTTTTTTTTAAATGCAATATTAAATTTAATTATTTTATATTATTAAAAATATGAGAAAATAAACATTCCCTAATAGTAATAATAAAAAAGCCGTTAAATAGCATTTAACTTGATTTGCCATTATTAATCTTATTGCAGTAATTTTAAAAAGTCAATATCTTTCAAAAATCAAAAAATGAAGAGAATTTTATGATGTCAAATATTGTGTTAAGCTAATGGATGCAAAACAAAGCCTGATATACACTTGGTTTAGAAAGTTTAAACGCTCTTATTTTATAAACGTATATAATACTTTTAAGAAATGATTATCCAATAAAGTGATGATACGTACTCTGTATTTTTATGTTTATTTATACTACGACTATAACTTATTAATTTAGAGGAAAAAAAATTGTAAGGATTTTACAAAGGAGGTGGAGGGTGATAAGAAAATTAACAAAGCAATTAACTATTTTTTGAAATAAAGTTTAAACTAAGAAAAGTCATAACACTTGATTATTTTAGAGTCTTGTGTTTTTATCACTTAACAGCCTGTTAGCATAAAGCTATTTCATTTGGATCCCTATTCTTATTTAATTTTGAATAAAAACTGCAACTATGATTTGATTCAAAATTTAACAATTTTCAACTGATCTAACCTTGTCAAATTATCATATTATCATGGGTAAAAGAGCTGTTAAACTGAAAACAAAATGGCAAGTTATTGAAAAGCAAAAAAATGAAAATGAGCAATAGTGAAAAAACTCTGAAAAAACTGAAAGCAAGCAATGAAAACATATTTTACATGCTAAGCAGACACAACCCAAAAGCCGAAGCATCAGCTGTAAGTGGAAAAATTAATAGCTCGCTGGAAGACAAAACTTTTAGTCAAACGATAATAAGTTATTACGTAAGAAAAAACTAAATTTGTTTCATTGTGTAAGAAAGCTTTTGTTGGTGTTAATTGATCGCCCATGACAAAAAAATAGTGCAAAGAGAGTTTAAATTATTTTGTAAAACAATGGAAAAATTTTTATCTTTATTGATGAGTCAAATTTTGAAATTATTAACAGAAAAAATAAGAGATTTGTTCGTCTCAAAAATATAGAAAAATATTTGAAGCAACACTTACTAAGCTGTATTCAAAAAGGTAGTGGTTCTGTCAGCATATTGGGATGTATGTCAGGCTCAGACATTGACTGTCATAAAATATACAAAGGAGGATTAAACCAGAATGAGTACTGTGACAAATTGGGAAAATGCACTTTTCCCTAGTCGCGATTTGTTCCAGGCTAATCAAAACTGGTTATTTCAGCAATACTCTATGCCATGCAGCACATGCAAGTATTGCTGATTATTTCCTTAAAAGCAATATTATTGTTAACTTAGCCAGCAGAACAACCTGACACACAATCAAAAAATTATGAAGCTTCAACCCTTGGAATTAGGGTCAGCATATGGAAATGCGGACCTAACTACAAACCTTAACGTGCTTAAGGTCGCTGACCTCATTTTTATGTTTTATGGTAACCCATTTGTGTCAAATTATTTCGTGAACCTGATGCGGACCTCTAACAGTTTGAGATTTTATTTGGCAATTTATTTCCTAACTTAATTTTCTTAATTCCGAGGGTTGTGGCTTGAAATACAAATCAAGATGATTTAAAACTTAATTAAATCAGTGCTAAGGTATTAAAATAATGGGGGTCATATCCCATAATAACAGTGCATGTATTAAAATAATTGGGGTCATATCCCATAATAATATATTTTGATTAAAAGAAATTGTAGATGTATTTAAACTTTTTTGGACTTTTTTTTAGTAATTTTTTGATTACTTGAGTTTAATACTTTATTTCGGTTTTTTTTAATTTAAAGTTGTATTTTTTCTTAAAGGAATCCCCAAGTGCCAAGACAAGTTTTGTTCATATCATAGATAAATATTAGAAATAAGTTTTTTTAAAACTAATTAAACTTTTCAAAACAAATTATTTAATGAGATATTAACAAAAGCATTTGTTGTTTCACCATTATACTTCCAGTTATAAGGGTTATAGAAACCTTACGAACCAGCATAGTTGTTT